AATTGATTATTATTACATTTCTTATGCATTAACAATCAATGATTATATTACGATCATATTCAAATTATCGAAACGGGGCTAAATCATAGGTTTTAAGCGTATAATTATTTTGAGCCCTTATTTGTAATAATCTTCAACCTCTATCTGTAATTATTTTCACTTTGGGCCCTTATCTGTAAATTCCCTAAAAATTATAAATTAAAATTTATAGTTTAAAAATGTCTTTTATAATAACTTATACGTAACATTATTTTTTTACTTCGAACTCTTTTTCTATTAGTCAATCAGATTTTGTAAAGTCATGAAATGATCTACAAAAAATTAGCCAATCAGAATGAAAGCCCGCTATGCTGTACAAATAAAAGAAATCTATCGCTATATTTATGGCATCACTTCATTTTTAGTTGTTCAAACTGTCAAAATATTAGGCCACCGTGTTAGATAAATTCAAAAATCGGTATAATGCAACAAAATAAAAACCCCGAATATTTTCTTTATGATATTAGTCACGATTGAATTTATAAGTTTTTAAATTCTAAATTCAGGTGGCTTAACCTGTCACAGATTACGGACGTGCCACAATGCATACTGGATTTGACTGTATGAAAAATATAACCGGTTCCAAACTCTAATCTCGATACGTAACAATTTTGTTTAGCGTTAGCGTTAGAATAACGCTAAAAGCATTTTATTTTAATAAATCATGTGACTATACTTATTTAGCTATTTAGGAGCGAATTCAAACGAAAAGATCAAGACTTCATGCAGTATTAACCGTTCCAGTTATTATTATAATGTAATTGAAAAAGTTCAGCTACCTTAAAATGAATAAATTTTTTGAGTATATACGTATTTAAAAGAATCAATTTTAATCTATATATTAATAACGATGAACTAAATTTAAGGAATAATGAAGCAATATAAATGATACGTAAAAAGAATCCTTATTCAATTCGTTTAAGGTATTTTTATTTTCATCCAAAATGTAGTCTTAGTCTGTCTAGTTCTATGCAATTAAAGAGTTTCTATCGTTATTCGGTGTTATATAGCCAAAAGACAGTTTTAATTTCTTCGCGATAATACTTAGCTCTTTCATATCGATATGATAGAACTAATTTATTCGGAGCCAAACGTTAATGTTAGCGTATAAATAAACCACCCTTATTTGATACACAGATAATGATCGAGATAAGCGGTATATCAATGTCTGTTGTAATACATACATACGTACAAGATAAATGCATTGAATCAAAATTTTTCAAATATTCAAATCTTTTCTTTATCGCATATAACAATGGATATAGAAGAATTCCGCAAAAGGGGTTATGAAGCAGTTGACCGAATTTGCAAATATTACAAAGAACTTGATAATTATAATGGTTGGTCGGTTCAAGTCTAATTTTGCATTCTTAACCATATATAAAATCTCGAAATAATGTTCCCTTTAATTGTTCACACAAGTTTTGCCAAATGTTGAACCTGGATACCTCAAGAAACTTCTTCCGGAAGAGGCACCCGAAGGTATAGTTGTGCTTGGCTAGTTATCTGAATGTCATTTTATCTTTTTTATCATTAATTTAATGAAAATTTATACTTTTAATTTACAAAGAACCTGAATCATTTGACGCGATTCAGTCGGATATAGAAACAAAAATAATTCCTGGTGGTAATATATCGTATTAATTATGATATTTAAATACATTTTTTACATCATTTTATTCTTAAATACATTGCACCATCAGTTACGCACTGGCAAAGTCCCAATTTCTTTGCATTTTATCCGGCAAATTCATCTTTTCCGGGAATCCTTGGTGATATGTACAGTGGTATGTTCAGTTGTATAGGATTTAATGTAAGCATTTAAATATTTTCGTTAAAATCTTTATGAGATATGTTTCACATATGGGACTCCCACAGTAAAGGAATGGATGGGCCAAAAAATTATAGGTTTTTTTTTTAATTTTAATATAATTTTATTCTAATCGATCTAATGCTTCAAGATATTGATTTTTTTTTTGTTGGCCCATCTATTCCTTTGTCTATGGAGGCCCGTATATTTTATTTATTTATTTATTTTTTGTTTGATTTTTAGTGGATATGCTCTCCAGCTTGTACAGAATTGGAAACCATTGTACTTGATTGGGTTGGAAAACTCATCGGTTTAGATAAAAGTTTTCTTAGTGAGGGTCACGGTGGTGGTGTAATTCAAGCAAGTGCTAGTGATGCTACATTGGTTGTTTTGATTGCGGCTAGACAACGTGTGATTGATAAATATAAAGCTGAAGGTTTAAATGATGATCAACTATATAACATATCTAATCGTCTTATTGCATATGGTTCTACTCAGGTTAATTTTAATACTTTATATATAATTTGATTCATATCATTCTAATTTTAATATTTATTAAAATGATTATATACTTTTGAATAAATTCAGACTCATTCATGCTTGAAGAAGGCCACCATTATAGCTAACGTACGCTTTCATGCACTTCCAACAGACGAAAAATTCTCTTTAAGGGGAGATACTGTTAAGCGTGCAATTGAAAAGGATATATCTCAAGGTTTAATTCCATGTTTCCTTAATGGAACAATAGGCACAACAGGTTCTGCTGCAGTTGATCGTATTTCAGAGTTAGCAGATGCAAGTATGTATATTACATTGTAGATTTTTTTGATAAATTATTTTATAATTGAAATAAAAATCATTTGTTTTATTTATTTTCAAAAGTTCAGGGCACAGATGTGTGGTTACATGTTGATGCTGCTTATGCTGGTTCTGCCTTTGTTTGTCCTGAATATCGACATTATCTTAATGGTGTTGATCGATCAGATTCATTTAATTTTAACATGCACAAATGGTTACTGACAAATTTTGATACTTCATGCTTATGGTAATATTTGATGTTCGAATATACTTTATTGTATAATAAGATATCTCGATAAATAACTTTTAAAAGAATTCCCTTTATATATAGGGTTAAAAGGCGAAAACTCCTTATAAGTGCATTGACCGTTACACCAGAGTTTTTAAAAAATCCTGCCAGTGAAAGTGGATTGGTTTTAGACTATCGAGATTGGCAGTTACCACGTAAGATAAAAATATTTCAATCCGTGAATAAATGTTAAATCATTTAAATGTTATTTCATTTTTATTTTAAAAAAAAAATTTATTCATTCAGTGGGTAGACGTTTTAGGGCATTGAAAATATGGTTCGTATTGAGAACTTATGGAGCGAAAGGTTTGAGAGAACATATTCGAAATGTATATATATAATCTCATGTTTAATGATTATAACAATAATAAAATAATAATAATAATTATAATTATTATTTTTAATTTCAATAGTCAATAAATCTAGCGAAACATTTTCAAAACAAGCTTATATCAAAATATTCCGATCTTTTCGCTATCTCAGTGGAGCAAGCATTTTCACTTGTTTGTTTCCATGTTATTCCTAATGAAAAATCTCGTGAAACTTCAAATGAACTCACTGAAAAAGTTTATAATCGTTTGAACGAAATTCAAAAAATTTATTTAACACACACTAAATTAAATGATCAATTCGTTATAAGATTTGTCGTAGGAAGTCCATGGACCGCTGAGGAACATATAGACAGGGCACTCGACCTTATAGTAAAGACTACTAAGGAAGTTATTGGAATCAAAGATGAAGATGGTATTTAGTAAAGAATTATGGTTGTAATTTAAACTTTCTAAATACTTGGTTTTTTGAAACGTAATATAATTTACGATTTGGCATTATAAAAAAAAAAATTCAATTAAATCTTTGATCTAAACTTTGAACTAGATGCTAATTTATTATAATGGATTTTTTATTCTAATACATTTTATTTGTTCATTTTAATTTCTTTTTTCTCCTCTCTTCAAAGTTCTAAAAAGATCATTAATTAAAGATTTCATTACAAGCAACCTTAAAGATATATCATATAAGATTTTTACTAAATAGTTAACAAAAAATCTCATAAACGTGTTGAAAAATTAAATTTTAAAACTGAATATATAAAATATATATTTAGTTTTAAATTTTAATTTGATAGCATTTATTTGATTAAATAATTAGTTTTTTAAAATATATATATATAAATTAATAAGGTTTTATAGGACAGTAAATAATAACTATTTTGATTAGATAAAGTATAATTATACAGTATATACTTTTTTTTAAAAAAAACTATTTGAAGTTGTAATTTTAAATTTTTTTTCAATAGTTTTTGTATTTATGATTAAAAGCATTATACTGCCTTTACAGTTTTAAACACTAAATTATATCTGTTTTTAATATATATTTTTACTAACAAAAAAAAAATGTTCAAAAATAACAGTTGTAAAAATTGTTAGGTAGTTATAAGTTATATAGAAAAGACAAAGATACTAAATTTAGAGATGTGGCAACCTAGTGAAATGGTCAGGTTGTCAACCTTCCAAGTGGTAGGTTGAGTGTTCAAATACTATTAATAGCAAAAATTTGGATAATCACCTATGTAATATTTGTATTATGGTAACTGTTACTAATAATTGGGTTAGAATACCTATAATGGTGGTTACACCAGCATGACTGGCAGATTATAGGGCATCTGTATAAGTATGGCATTACACAAAGGAATGGAAACTGACAAATCAGACAGTGCAAACACTAGATAAGTTCTTGTAGTTATGTAAATCCATTAAAATTAAGTAACAAGAAATTCATTTGAAAAGTCCAAATAGAGAGGTAGTTGAATCTTCAATGGTTCTACTGTAAAAGCTAATCTGGAGAAACAGATACCAAGATCATAGTATTTAGTCATAGTAGTCAGACAGGCAAGAACCTTCAAGTTGGAAATCTCAGGGGTATCATCAACCAGGCTGCCAGAACAAACTAAAAAAAAAAAATATTGGACTGATCTGATATATTGATGGACTGGTTGTAATTCTACACAGCCTATCTGTATTAGAAGTTTGGTAAAAAGGTAGATGAAAAGGCAAGAGTATACTAAAGTACTAGGATTATACTATGAAATAGATACTAGGATCTAAGTGAACTCTACAAAGGCATAATAATTTAAAGGTTAGTCCTGACTACAAGTGTTGGTTCTACTATAATGATATCTAGATTAGCTGTAAAAATGGATACAGAAGGTTCTAAGAGGTTTACTTTGAGAATAAATTAGTCCTAAGGTTAAGATGATGATCTGGGCATCTGGGTATGACCCAATAAGTTAATACAAATTATAGATTCAGAATGTTTAAAATGAAACACCCAAGCAGAGGTGTTAGGTATAGCAATTGGTAGAGAACCTTCAGGCAGACTTCTTAAATAAAGATATAGAAAAGTTACACTTGTAGCCAATTGTACTCTCTTCTGTAGTAATTCATTAAATCACAATACTAATTA